TTTGGGTCTCTCTCCTCTACCATAAACTATACCTGTCCTTGAACTGTGACTAGGCATTGCTAAATAGTTTACATAAGTCAGGGACTATTTTAAAATTCAGAATGAGGTCATTCCCCCCAAATCTTAAAATTAAGAATGGCATGGCAGGAGGCTGGGGCAGGGCATGGATGCCCAGGGAAGCCATGTAGCTAAAGCAAAAGAGAGTGAAAGGATTTCCCTAGACGAGGCGAGGAAGGTGCAAGGAAGAGGAGCTACTGGAAGCAAACCTGGGACAGGGTTGTCATCGCGAGGTGTGTGTGAAGGAAATTGCAGGCTCTGCAGCGCCAGGCACCGCTTATGTGGCTTCAAGTGGCTGTAAGCATGGTGAAGGCGTTGAGCAGTTTACACGGCTGGATCTAATTCTCCTACGTAATTAGTTGTCATAGAAGGAACTGAGGTAGGTGTGTGAAGGCTAGCTCAGTCGGTAGAGCATGAGACTCTTAATCTCAGGGTCGTGGGTTCGGGCCCCACGTTGGGCGCCAGATGAAGGCGTAAGTCACAGACAATCCCACACCAGTTTGGAATTATGATTAATATAATGGTTATTTATTCAAAGGGGAAAAAAACTTACAGATTACCATCCCAGACAACAGCCCCTCCGCGCGAACAGGAAAGGAGTCCAGGGGCCGGAAACGGAGCCGGAAGACAAAGAGAAAGTGGAGGACAGCCGCTGCTTTTTTTAAAGGGAGAGACCACGCCCCAATGGGCTGGTAACTCAGCGGCGATTGGCTGAAGGAACTCCCACAGCAGGTGTGCCACCTGCTGGACAGCAGTGATTGGTGGATTGGACCCAGACCTAGAGTAGGTGCCTCCAGAGGCAGCTGGCTGTCTTGGATGTAGCAGTTTAAGTATTTTCCTCTCTGCTGCAGAAGCTTTAGGAAAGGAGATCCTTATACTGTGCTCACAGGGGCCAAAGGTGCTAGCTTTCTCCTGGGCTCAGGTTTTCTTCAAGTCCTGTTCCTTATTCTGTGATGCTAAGCCAGTGATTCTGAGAATTTTCCGTCCCACCTGTAGCCAGCAGTTGCAGTGACTGATCTGCAGTGTTTAAAGTGGCATGCCTTGCACCCTGTCACCCACAAATACTTCAACGCCATGTCTTGGTAAGGTCATCCGACATCAATCATTTGCTGTGTCTTTAACAGAGGACCAGAAGTATGCTTTACTTTAGATAGCTGTATGCCTGGAGATAATTCATGATTGGCATGCTAAAGAAAGAAGGATTATAGGGGGAACAGTTAGCATTCTGCCACAAGATCTAGTCTACACTGAATTATATGAAATTCATGCAGTTATTCTTAATTTATTGTTGTATGGACTTTCTTCTTTTTGAAATATGTAAGCTGAATCGCTCTTATACTGAGCTTCCTTTTCTTTGAAAAATTATTTTTATGTACCTATTTATTACTATTATTTTTTAAAAGATGGGACCCTGTTATATAGTCTTGGCAGGTCTGGAACTCAGTGTGTAGCCTGAGACGGCCTTGAACAAGTGGCAAGCCCTCTGCTTCAGCCACGCAAGCCCTGAGACCGTACGAGCCACCATGTCTGGCATTTATGTGTCTCTGTGTCTTATGCTGTCATCCCTTTGTTAACTTTAGACACTGTTCACTGCCGATGGTGTCTTCACTTCCTTTCTACAATGCTACTCTTTCCTCCTGGGCCAGCTAAACAGGCAATAAAAACCCTCCTAATGACATCATATAATTTATTGTGTGGGTTGTGTATGCTGCACATGTTAGCATCTTTAACATCTTATTTCTGATGTTGGAACTCCGTTTACAGCTTCACTGAGGTATAACTGACAAACAAAAGCTTTGCATATTGAAGGCACACAGTGTGACGCTTGATATATGTCAAACATAGGTATGCACATACATGCACGTACTGTGAAATAATTACTATAACCAAGCTATCTAATGTATCTATCACCCCCTAGTTATCTTTCTAGTGTCAATTTTTTTTTTTTGATGTGAGAACACCTAAGGTCGATTCTCAGCAGATTCCACATGTACAAGGCATAACCATTCCCTCTTCAGTGCTGGAGTTTACCAGTTTTCAGGTTTCTCCCTTTGACTAATCTCTCCCTATCTCTGCCCGTTCCCCGACGCTAGGTAACTGCGAACTGCTTCTACTCTGTGTTTCTACCAATCTGACCTGTAAAGTTTCACATGGACCTGAGAGCACGCAGTGTTTGCCCTCAGTGCCGGGCTTTTCTGGCATGGTGTCCTCAGGTTACCGTGTTGCTTCTGGTGGCAGGATTTCCTTTCTCCCCAGACAAGTGTGGGTGATATTTTGAGCTGTATTTCCTCATGATTATGATGCAGCTTTTCATAGGTGTGTTGGCTTCTTGTATCCATTCTGAGGAAAAGTACCTTTCAGGTCCTTTGTCTACTTTTTTAAATTAACGCTCATTTTCTTACTGCGTCATAAGTTCCTCGTGTGGTTTGGAGATGAAGCCCTTGCCACATGGTTTGCAAGCACCTTTCCTTGCTCTGCCCACTTACCTTTGCCCCCTTACCTTTGCCCCCTTACCTTTGCCTGTCCTCTGCTCCCCTCTCCTATTCAGCTTTTTTTTACTGGTCAGTATTTTTTAGTTTGACAGGTTCACATTTCTGTTTTTTTGTTTGTTTGTTTGTTTGTTTGTTTCATTCTTGTTGCTTATGTTTTTGGCATTTTTTTTTTAAAAGAAGTCATTGTCTAGGCCAGTGTGCTGGCTTCTCTCCTGTTTTAGGACCCTGGGAGACTTATTTTTAAACCTGTGTTGAGGAGTTTGGTATATGATAAGGACTCAATTCTGTCTTTCCTTCCTCTGTTTCTTTCCCAGTTTGCGTATGGATATCCAGTGTCCCCTCGGAGGTGATCTTTCCCCTTTGCATTCTGATTCTTGAAGACCTGTGGCGGGACTTTCTCACCAGTCTGCCTTCAGATTGCTAGCCCTAACTAACGACAACGAAGTGTAATATTAATGATGGGAACTTGGCCTTTAGCTTAGGCTTGTCTCAACTGGCTCTTATAAGTTAATAACCTGTTGATATTAATTTACATTCTGCCATGTGGCATTACCTCTTCTATGTCTTGCACTTCCTGTTTTTCTCTGGCTGGCTACTCTGCCTTTCTTCTTCCCAGAGTTCTCTCTGCCTGGAAGTCCTGCCTATACCTCCTGGCTAGCTATTGGCTCCTCAGCTTTTATTACACCAGTCACAGCAATACGGCTTCATACAGTGTACAAATATCCCTCAACAGGACCGTCCTTCCCATTGTGCAGTCCTGGTGCCTTTGCTGATGATAAGTTGGCAGACTTGAAACTTTTTGCAATTATATTTACTTTACAAATTAACTAATGTTCCTGGGTTATTAATAACTTTTTATAGTCACCAAAATCATTAGGACCACAGTAAAAATAGAATTAAAGCCTTGCTGAAAATCTGAGCATGCTCCTTGTAAAAGGTTCGTGTGCTTTGCATATGGAGACCTTACAGCGTTTGTTTCAGCCTCTTGCCTCATCTTAGCGGCTAATAGATGGGTGGGGCTGCCAGTGTAGCTGACCGATCGACTGTGTTTCTGAATGCATGCTCATGGCAGGGACACCCACATAGACCACATGCAAATGATGTAATGAATAAAGATTGAATAAAAATAAAATAAAAATAGAGACTAATCAATCAAATAATTGCTGCAAAGGAAGTGGAGCCTTGAGAGACTTTTTTTTTTTTTTCAAGCAGCATTAACACTTTTCAAGACTGGTTAGCTTGCGGCAGTCACTGTGAGCTACAGTACTCTGTCATAATAAACACCAGCCATCAACTTGCTTTCTCTTTTGAATCTCTTTAGGCAGTATGTTTGTTCTTATTCAGGTAGAGTAAGAATATCACTTGCTTCTATACAATTTAATATTTTTCCTAGCAAAGTCACTGTAAAGTTTATATTTATTACACATAAAAATATCACTGATATCCAAGGCAATATGGACTAGCCCACATAGGATTTAACTGTTTAAAGCTAAGGGATTAACGTTTGGGCTAGAAATGGCAAACTATGGGATTGACCTTTTATTTATTCCTTAATAAGTGGTTTTTACCTGGTGTAGTTATTCCCTGTATAGTAGGGCTATAAGGTACACTAATCACATAAGCAGAGCATGCAGAGTTATACCATCCAATCTCAGAGTAGGGGTTGTGTACTATGTCATGGACATTGTCATCTTCATCTTAGTGTGTTCTAAGAAGTATTGAAACCAAGACTGATATACTGACAGTGGAGACATCTTCAAAGTCAATTTACAGGGCATCAATGCTGTTGCTCGCGATACTGTCTATCACTGTGATTTACTCACAACTAATACCTAAAACAAGTCTGTGGAGTCTACGTGGATGCATGCGTGTGAGCATGCACGAGTGCGTATTCATTTGTATGGCGTGTTTGTGTCTGGTGTGTTGTCTGCTGGGGTTTGCATTCAGAGCGTGCTGCATGCTGTGCATGTACTGTCCTTTTGGTTGGCATCCCTGGCTCCCTGTGTGCTATGCTTGATGTCTAAGTCATATGAAAGCATGAGAGAGACATATGACAATGAAATAGTCCCCCGGAGAACTACGTTTTATATGTCAGGTTTGGGGAAAACAGTATTTTAGGATTATGATTGTTCTTAGCAATTATTTTGAAACTGAGGGTTTGGGTATATAACATATAAAAGAAATATTGTTAAAAGTATGAACACCTGATGAATATAAAATTGAACATACAATGAAAGTATAAACATTTTATAAATATAAAATTTGGGGCATGTGTATATGTATTGATATTACTAACTTGATATTTTCAGTGTGTTGTAATTTAAAATTGAAGCTACCTTGATGTGACCTTGTCGGATAAAGTTAACTGTGATGTATTTGAGCAGAATAGTGATTATTAAACATGAAATTGATCAAAAATAAGATATTTAATTTCTTCTAATTCTTCTTTAGGTCGAGATTTAATTTGTATCCAGTCTATGGATGGGATGCTGATGGTGTTCGAGCAGGAAAGCTATGCTTTTGGCAGGTTTCTCCCAGGCTCTCTTCTGCCTGGGCCTCTTGCTTACAGTGCCCGCACAGATTCCTTCATCACTGTCTCCTCCTGCAGACAGGTGGAAAGTTACAAGTGAGTCTGTGTGTTACATTTGGAATCGTGATTATTGTGGCCGTTTGTTACTGATTAATCATTTTCTGGAAAGACCTTGAATACTGCAAATGAAGGCGAGATTGACTTTGGTAAAATTTAATTGGGATGCCTTAGAGCACATCACCGACCTAAGTAAAGAATTCAAAAGGCTGTGTAGCACACTGGTCCCAAGAAGCCAGTGGAGGCAGCTCTTTATCTGAATTCTGGGTTTGCTACTTACTGCTGCTGGATGGTCAGTGTCCTCAGGAGGTAATGTGAGCCTTGACCAGTGTGTAAGAAAGATTAAGTGTGTTCCAACCTACCACGAATAGAAAATGCTCAATAGTAATATGACTACCCCCTGTTATAATGACAATGAAATGAATAGATGTGGTAGCCCATGTCTTTAATCTGGGCACTCAGGAGATTAACTCTGTGAGTTTGAGGCCAATATATAGTGAGTTACATAGTGAGAATTTGCTCACAAAACAAAACAAACAAACAAACAAACAAAAAACAAAAAAATCACCAGCAACAACAGACAGACAATAAAATGTAATATTGAGTGAAAAAAACAGATATAAATTTGCATGAGTATTTTATAATGACAAGGAATGCAAATGACATCTGAAATCTTTCTGGAAAACGATACAGTCATTGCCATGAATAGATGAGATGTAGAAGGGATCTCAGGAACATAGTGTATACTTTTGCTAGAAATTCTTCAGGTCTTCCTGAGTTAATGTTGGAGAGAAATCATTTTCTCCTCCATCAGGTAAATATCCACAATGATTATTGTAGGTAGAGGGAAAGAGAAAAGAATGTAGAAATCCATTCTGGGAGCAGAAATAGGGTTCATTTTAAATATCTTTAACTCTTTAATGTATTATTTTTAAAAGATTTATTTTTTTGTGTGCACATGTGTGCCTCTGTGGGCTTATGTGTATCACATGTGTGCAGGTGCCGTTGAGACCAGAGTAGGGTATGAAGTCCCCTAGAACTGGAGTCGCAGGTGGTTGTGGGTTACTGGACGTGGGTTCTGGGAACCAATCTGAGTTTGCTTTCCACTGCTAAGCCAGCTCTCCAGCCCCATCATTTATTTTCTTTGTGATGAAAGGAATTTAGAACTTTGAACATCGTCTCTTTCTGGTATTGTTTTTTTGGCCACATGATGTTTCCCAAGGTGGGAAGAAAAAAGAACTCTCTTTGGCAGTGGCCATAGGGAGTTCATCTTCATTTCACCGTTGTGTATAGTCAGTCGGGCATTGCCCACTTCGTAAGTGGAAGTCTTTTGTTTTTAAAGGTTGTCAATGCTGAAAACAAGCAAACGTTTGCCACTGAGCAGAGGCTGATGAAAGTGGCAGATCTCCATGTCCCCTTCCTTTTGTGGCTCCTTTGGCCCCTGCCTGGATGGAAGGAATTGTGGTGTTGCCTCTGGAAATAAATATTTTTTGTTTGAGAAATTAAGAAAAGCATCTGTGTACTTTACCCAGGACTGCCAAACTTAGGCGGTACTGTGGCCATCTGCTTTTCAGCTTCCTACCCAGCCCAGTGCCCATCTCCTGCCAAGCAGGGTTCCACAAGGGGTATAGTGCTCAGATCTGAACACGCCATTGCTTACTCTTGGACGTGTGTGTGTGTGTGTGTGTGTGTGTGTGTGTGTGTCTAAGTGTTTCTATTGCTCCATGAAACACTATGCAAAAAAACAACTTGGGGAGGAAGGGGTTTATTTGGTTTATACTTCCACATCACTGTTCATCGTTAAAGGAAATCAGGACAGGAACCCGGAAGCAGGAGCTGCAGCAGAGGCCATGGAGGGTGCTGCTCATTGGCTTGCTCCTCATGGCTTGCTTGGTCTGCTTTCTTATAGAACCCTGGACCACCAGCCCAGGGATGGCACCACCCACAATGGTCCCCTCAATAACCAATTAAGAAAATGCCTTACTGCTGGAACTTATGGAGGCATGTATTAGTCAGGGTTCTCTAGAGTCACAGAACGAATACCTTTCTGTCTGTCTGTCTGTCTGTCTGTCTGTCTATCATCTATCAAGGGAATTTATTAGAGTGACTCACAGGCTGCAGTCCAGCTAATCCAACAATGACTGGTTGAGAATAGAAACTCCAAGAATCTTTCCGTTGCTCAGCTCCACAAGGCTGGGTGTCTCAGCTGGTCTTCTGTATATGCTTGAACCTCAACAAAGTAGGCTCCATGCCAGGGAAGGAATGGATGTGTTAGCAAGGCAAGGGGAGGCAGACAAAGAGAAAAACCTTCCTTCTTCTATGTTCCAATATAGGCTTCCAGTAGAAGGTGAGGCCCATAGTAAAGGTGTGTCTTCCCACCCCAAGAACTAGATCAAATGAGTGTTTCTTCCTTCTTCAAAAGTCCAGACCAGAAATGGATTCACTCATTTTAAATCAAGCAGAAAATCTCTCACAGGTGTGCTCTCTATTTCTGGATTACAGTTCATTCCAAATTTAGTCAAGTTGACCACCAAGAACAGCCTTCACAAGGCATTTTCCCAACCGAGGTTGCCTCCTTTCAGATAATTCTAGTTTGTGTGTCTGTAACTCCAGGAGAGATCCTATGAGGAGTCGATGGGTGCATTTTCTTAATGTGTGAGGTTAATGTCACAAAAGTCTTGTTTCAGCTCTGATAGTTCTTTAATACTGATATATTTAATTCATTTCCATTTATATCTAAAAACCACACACTTTATTCATTATGAGGTACATTTATAATGGTAAAAATGCATGAGACATCAGACAATTGGGAAGACATTTAACATTAAGTACTGTGATATATGTATGCATGCTTTCAACTTTAATAGATTGAATTAAATGATAGTCACCAGGGAAATTTAGGAAGGAGAAAAGCATGAAAACTCCTGGTTCCTTTTTCTTGAGGCCTCATTCAGCCTATCTGTAGTCACTTAATAGAATGTAATTGACTAATAGAATGGACTTTTAAGACATAGTTCACCTTCATTTTGATATTGATATTTAACTGCTTTAAAGTTAATTATATTCATATAGGAGCATGTATGGACTTTGGCCTCAAGCTTTAGTGTGTGTAGGACTCTCCTGGCCAGCCTGTTGTTAATGACATTTACACATCCTAGCCCCAGGCCCCAGGCCCCAGGCCCCAGGCTTGTGGCTGAGACACAGAACTTGTCATTGTCCATATAAACTGCAAGTGATATTAATTTAGAATCGAGTGTTTTTTCTCTTTCTTCCTTCCTTCCTTCCTTCCTTCCTTCCTTCCTTCCTTCCTTCCTTCCTTCCTTCCTTCCTT